GTTTTTTTTTTTTTTCATGACTTCATCATATTTGCACATAAATAATGATTTAGATGATATTCCCACGTTTGCTTATTTTGTGTAGAGTTGAGCTTTCAACCCCATGTTTACCTCTTGTTCCACGTGAATTCCAACCACCAGCACAATCAATCTCATCTACCTCTTGGCTATTGCACCCAACAGTCACAATACATGTCTAGAAATCCAAGCAGTTCATATTGTTAGGGTTACACGACTCTCCGGAGCTGGTTTAAGGCGATCAGGTAGTCTTTGATAAAATTATAAATGAAACGTTTTAAAATATTTAAGAAATATATTTTTATTATTATTTCATGCATGTTTGACAAGTGTGGTCTTTAACGATTTTCATTTTGTATTTTAAATCTTTTATTAAAAGAAAATAATCTTCATTTCATAAAGTATAATGATAAATATATCTTCTTTGTTCTTGAAACTTTTTTACTAGATGGTTGAAAACTTGCTAGAAAGTTGAGATTCCAACTTTGAAACTAAATAACTCTTTTGAACTAATTAGTTTACATGAAAACACTGTAAGAATCTCAATAAATCTATTTATGATTTTAAAATTGTAAAACACCAGTTAAAAATCATAAAAACAACTCGAAACCACAAACTTTCCAAGCTCTTGCAAACTTTTTACTGCCAGATGAAGGTCATAAACCACCGCCTTCAAGCTAGTATGGTTGAATTGAATTCTTTAACACCAAACTTGACCCTTTTAATTATCATAATTATGATAATTGATAAATTTCTCCTTCCTTTCTCAAATTCAATGACTTGCAAATAAATCAAATGAATTTTTGAACTAAAATAAAGTTTTTTTGTGAATTTAGAATTAACTATATATTTTCCATGTTTTACATTTTAGTCCTCTAACTTTTAATTTGATTTTTTTTCATAATTTCAAACTCAAATCTCATTTAATTAAGTTATAAAAAAATTTAATTTAAATAAAAGAAAGTCCGAGAAGACAAATAGATAAAAAAAAAGGATGGAAATGAGAGGAAAAAAGGGAAGAGCTCCTTCATTATTATTATTAGTATTATTTATTATTATTCATTATTCATATGATCAGTGGAGGAGCCGAAGAAGTCGAAGAAAAATCTTAATAATTTTAGTATATTTGTTAATCAATAACAAGGTAAAGCTCATGTGTAAAAATGAACCGGTAAAACAACATATTAATTTGCTTTACAAAATAAATGAATGTTGTTCAAGCCAACGAAATCCTCCCTTAGTTCCAAACCCCACATTTCGGCAACGTAGACCTGGCTCTCAATTACTTCTTCAGGTTAGTGGACTCGATGACTTTATGTTAGCATTGCCATTAAATAAACAATAAATTCGATCGAGGGGGCAGTTCCTATCATGTATTAAGCCGATATTCTCTAAAGTTGTGGATATTGGATGTTTTATGCATCAAATCATAGCCTGGCGGGGTCCAGATTCCGAAGGAAGTAAAGGTAAAAAGCATGAGCCATAGACACATCATAAAAAACCAGGAGAAAGCATAGAAATCCTCGAGGCAAAAACGCTTCTTTTATGTCTCCGGCTATCCACTTCCCTGGACAAAATGAGCAATGTGCCCCTGTTTCCTCCTACACTGCCCAAAGCAACCCAGCTAGCAGTCACTTTAACTTTGGGCAGCATTGCCTCCCACTACTCGGCATCATGGCTCACCGAAAAGAAACATCATGGCTCACCGAATAGAAACATCCACTTATGATGCCAGCATCCCAGCCTAAATGACTTGTTGGTGATCTATAGTTCAATGTTTCGATCAACTCAGTGTTTTTTTCAACTTCGAACTCAAAATCTTTCAAGAAGAAAAGCTTATTTGTAGGATGAGCTACAAGTTAACTAGCATCAATCAAGTATACCCGCACGCACTCTCTACAGCGACCACACAATGGGATTTGATTAAATTCCATTATACTTTCCAATCAAATCTTTCTTTATGTTAAACAAAGAGCCTTCACCACTAGAAACAACTCCAAGGTGACGGAATTTGACTCGAATCTATACTCAAGCATTGCCACATTGTGAAACATGATGTCCTTCCCAGCTTAGAGAGTCTAAGCCAACTGGTAGATGAACGGTTTTGGCACTTGATCCGTTGAACCAAAATCTCATGTCTCCAAGCGTATGTTTGTACGTAAGGCGAACCGAACAGAAAATAGAAACAGCAAAGCAAAATAAGGCATCTTTAGAGTTGTTAGAAGTCAGATATAGATTTGGCCAACCATTCTCTTAAGAAGGAAAAACATAATAATAGAGAAAGCAGTGTTCCCTTGTCGTCCCCAGCTCAGGGACCAGATCACTCTGTATCTGAACCATTATGGAATAATTATTTATTAAACAGACAAAAAATAAATAAATTTCCACCTAAAGAACCAACCCAGATGATAATCTTGCAAGTACAGCAAACGTTTTATCTTATTTATTCATCAAAACCTAATCATTAAAATATCGAAGCCGTAGCCCTGTACTCTTAATTAATTAATTATTACTCTCTTTATAATTTATGGAGCTGGTCATGTGTCTGCGGATGAAAATAAAATATTCTTGTTCGATGATTAGTGTCTTTTATGATAATTAAATCTCTCAGCCTCATCCTTCGCCTTGAATTCAACAGATACGCATCACTATTTCACTGGCGTTATAAATTCAAGGCTTTGTTTGGAATTTTCCTCTGCCTAAAGCCCTGGTGTAAGAACCTATGTGCATCGATCGTAATTGTATTCTCCCAGTACTGTTAGTTGAAACATCACGTTCTTTGCTATGAGACAGAGGCAATGAAGTCTATGTAGAAGTACTAGTGCTTAGGAGGAGTACTGTTGAGTATTAGCCCTTGTTGAGAGATCACAGACCAATGGTGCCAGTTATTGAAAGTAACCTGTCTTGAATGCTAGGTTGCAGCCTTCCATGTGAAACGGCTTACTTGAAGACAACTTGTTATTATTAGCAACCTCAAGGGGTTCGTCTAACTAGCAGATATCGGTTCGGGTTGAGGGGTCTGCTCCCTTCAGGTTTCACTCTTGGGGTCACAGACCCGCAGGGTGCAAAACATGGCAGGGAGGAATTGCAACTCAGAGGCCACCATGCCGTCTCTTAGAAAACTAATAATGGTTATGTGACTGGTTCGTATCGGCTTCTCACATCAATAGCGATAATAATAACGGC